GCCCTTTTTTAAAATTTTCCTTATTTTGAGGCCGGGTCTCAGTAAAATGTTGAGGCTGTCCTTGAACTTGTGAGCCTCTTACCTCACCCTCCCCTGTTGCTGGGATTACAGGCATGTGCCAGTACCCCCAGCTTGGGTTCCTTAACTGTCAGCTCTAGTCACAGTAAGAGGACCAGGGGCCTCTCTGAACAGCCCTCAAAATCCTATTCTTGGGGGCTGGGATTGTGGCTCAGTGGTAGAGCTCTCGCCTAGCATGCGTGAGTCACTGGGTTGGATTATCAGCACTGCATAAAAATAAAAAAAAATAAAGGTATTGTGTCTATATATATATATATATTTGTGTGTGTGTGTGTATTTTTTTAATCATTTTTTTCCTTGTTCTTGTAGGACTGACATCTTTAACAATCAAACCCAAAGGTTAAGTGTTTGGTGTTCAGAAGGCAATATTTTGAATTTCCAACCTCGCCACCTTTCTCCTGTGAAAATGTAGGCAGTGGGCTGGGGTTATAGCTCAGTAGTAGAGTGCTTGCCTTGCATGTGTGAGGCACTGGGTTCCATCCCCAGCACCATATAAAATAAATAAAATAAAGATGTTTTGTCCATCTATAACAAAAAAATATTATTTATTAAAGAGAATGTAGGTAGTGGTTGGTACAAGTCCCTGTGAGTCTCCCTTGCCAATGGAAGTGGCTTGATTTCCTGAGTTGAGGGACTGGCATCCTTTTTCTGCATAGGTCTGTGATAACTTTTCCTGGGCAGAACCCTTGTAAGGGCATACTTTTGCGACCTTCTACAACTATTCCAAGTTGCCATCAGATAAACAACTAGAAAGATTGCTGGTTCAAAGCCAGCCTCAGCAGTTTAGTGATGTGCTAAGGAACTCTGTGAGACCATATCTCTAAATAAAATGGAAGAAAGGGCTGGGGATGTGGCTCAGTGGTCAAGTGCCCCTGGGTTCAATCCTCAGTACAAAAAAAAAAAAAAGAAAGAAAGAAAAGAAAACAAACCAAAGGTAGACTCATTGCTGGCCTGGAGATCATGGATCTTGGCTTTTGGTGACCTAGTATGAAGTTGAGTGGGTTGAGCAGAAAAACCAAAACCATTGGAATAACAAAAATTTGAATATGTTTATCACATCTGATATGTAACCCCCACCCCTCAAACTTTCTTTTCTTTTTTAGTTGTAGATTGTCACAATACCTTTCTTTTATTTATTTAGTTTTATGTGTTGCTCAGGATCAAACCCAGTGCTTCATACAAGCTAGGCGAGCACTCTACCACTGAGCTACATGCACAGCCTCCTCACAGTTTCATTACAAGGTCCAGAAGGTGCTGTTGTCTTCCATGGGTTGAGAAAGGCATTTATGGAAGAGTGCTGGTATTTTTCAAAAGATCCATGGTGGTCTCCTCTATAGTCCTTATGTGAGTGCTCATGGAAGCACTGAGATGGACTCCCTGATTCTCTTTGAGATGATGGAATCTTTACCTAGAAGAAACAATGTGGCAGTTCTAACCTGTCCAAGACAGTGGCCACCTCTACTGTAAAGAGAGACATAGAAGACAACAAAATGCCTTGGCCCACAGAGTGTTTGGGAATGGCTGATTGATCACAATCTCTTTAGGGAAAAAAGGAAGGATAGTCTACTACAGCATTGTTTCATGTATGTAACCAGAAATGTTCTAAGTCAGGAGTCAAACACCTGATTTGCGGTGTTCTTGTTGAGGCACAGTCTCTCAACTAGTTTGCATTCCTGAATTAGGGGATCCAGAGCTCTATGAAGGAAGGGACTAGCATGGGAAGGACCATGCACCACTGTTGTAAGTGAACCCCAGAAATCTTTCCAAGCCTTCTGTAGGGTCCTGTAGCCACTTAGTAAAATGTCATGTCATCCAGGATAACAGATGTGTTCAAGCCAGGAGGTTGAGTCTCACCGAAGGCAGAGCCAGAGAAATTGGCCCTGAGTCGGGCATGGCCCAAGGTGCTCCTCCGCCCTCCTTTCACGATCCAAATCTCCCTGGGGACCCCAAAGTATCCTCTGCCAGGTTAGAGTGGGCCGGGCGGGCCTAATGGTGATTATAGGATCTTTAGGGCTATGTTCTCCGTGGACATTTCTCCCATGCCTCTTTTCTGCAAGAAAGCATTGACCTCCAAGTATACGGGAACCTGGGATGTGATTCACGACTCACAACAAGGCCTGTGGGAGACTCTGCGGTTAGGGAAGGTGGTTGCAGGGGGTGGGTCTCCTGCTCCACCCTCCCTGTTGACAAAAGAACGTAGGTTGAGGTTCCAACATTGTTTCCTTGATGGGCCACCGAGCCTAGAGTGAGACCTGCAAGGAAAGTACACCTGTGTGGTCTCCGCCAGTCTTAATCAGGAATACTTCTTTCAATTCTTGTTATATATGTTTATTATAGATACAGTAAAGCTTATGTGAAGAGTAAACACCCAAAATGGCCAGCCGGAAGCCGGTTTCTCGCACGCCTATGTGTCCAAACCCCATTCGTCAGCAGGCCGTCCGCGATTCCGGTGCCCAGTCACCTATCAGGTCTGCGCATGTGCTGAGCTATTCATGCACGCAGGCGCAGAGTGCCGCTGTATCTATGGTTCCCAACGTCTGATAGAGCGTCCACCCGCCCTCTTTGGGACTCTGTGGTTTTTGAGCGTGAAGACCGGCCGCCTATATAAGACACGCGCAGGCGTGGGAGCGCCTCTTTTCCTTCGGCGCGGTGAGTACGTTGGACTGTGTGTTCATTTGGTGTCCTTCCTTGCCTTTTCTCTGCTGAGGTTTGAGGCCTGTCCTTACATTCTATTCTCACTTTGCTTATTTTCTTACAGTCACCGACGATCCTGGTGTCGCCATGGGCCGCCGCCCCGCCCGGTGGTAAGTTCCAAATCCCTGCAATTTCGCTGTTGGAAAATTGCTTTTGGCCCCCTCAGACAACTGCTGGGTGGAGCCTTCTGTACGGGTTTCCTTCACCATGTTTCCCTAGTGCTTTTCCTACTGGTTTTTATTCATTTATACCGTTTATTCCTTTTCAAAAGTTTATCCTTACTCTGGCGCTGCCCCGGTTTTGTTGGGCGGCAGATTGACTCAGGAGTGCCATTGCAGTGCCAGTGTTGAGCTTGAAACAACATCCACCCTCTTCCAACCCTCTCTCCTGCAGTCTCGCCACACTTTATTGTCTTAGTCGCCTCTTGCGTCCTTTGTGCCCAGTCCAGTCTGTCTTATGGGCTTTCGACCATGTGGTCTTATCGGACACCAAACGCAGATGAGAAATAGCTGGCCTAGCCGCCTCATGTGCCCTGCAGGGGGCGCTGGGTGCCTCTCACGTGGCTTGGAGGCGGATTTCATGTCACGTTCCCGGAAGTCTTATCTTTTGAAGTCTGGAATTATAAAATACTGGCTTTAAAAGGAGTTTAAAATTAGGTGTAATCAAGACATTGTGGCTTTGGTTAACTTGCTATATTGTTGATGCTAGCCTCAAACTTGGGATATTGAGCGAGCATTTAAATAGCTTGTTGGATGGGGCTGGGGATGTTGCTCAAGCGGTAGCGCGCTTGCCTAGCATGCGTGCGGCCCGGGTTCAATCCTCAGCACCACATACAAACGAAGATGTTGTGTCCGCCGAGAACTAAGAAAAAATAAATAAATGTTAAAATTCTCTCTCTCTCTGTCCCCCCCCCCTTAAAAATAAATAAATAAATAGCTTGTTGGGTTCACTTTTGACCCCTCCACATCAAATTTTTTTCCCCCTTCTGCAGTTACCGGTACTGTAAAAACAAGCCGTACCCAAAGTCTCGTTTCTGCCGGGGTGTCCCTGGTAAGTACTAAGACACTCACAAACTGCTTTGGTCATGCTAATTCAGCAGTCCCTATCACTCTACCTTCCCTCCCCCAACACTTATCAAAGTTTTTTTTTCTACCCCCAGATGCCAAAATCCGCATATTTGACCTTGGGCGTAAAAAGGCAAAAGTGGATGAGTTCCCACTCTGTGGCCACATGGTATCTGATGAATATGAGCAGTTATCCTCTGAAGGTGAGGCAAGATTCTTTATTACCCCTAGTTCTTTCTGTGTTCTCTGTCTGACCCAGAATTGTACCACACTGGCTATAGTGAGTGCTTTTGCACCATATTGTTTTAACTCTGTTGCCTTCCTTTGTTCTCAGCCTTGGAGGCTGCTCGTATTTGTGCCAACAAGTACATGGTAAAAAGTTGTGGCAAAGATGGCTTTCATATCCGAGTGCGGCTCCACCCTTTCCATGTTATCCGTATCAACAAGATGTTGTCCTGTGCTGGGGCTGACAGGTGAGTTGGCTTTGAACCTTTTCCTTTAACTTGGGCCTCTTCTGGGCTTGGTTTTTCATGTCAGGGAATAAAGGTGATTTCACATGTTGAATCACCTGTGGTGAGGGAAAAAAAAACAGGAGAAAGGCTGGCAATCAAATTGGGGGTACCACCTCATGGTGTCTCACTGTTTTTTGTTTTTGTTTTAATTAATTACACATGATAGTACAATGATCTTGACATCATACATTTGAATCAGATGGGGTATAATTTCTCATTTTTCTGAGTGTACAGGTTGCAGAATCACATTGGTCATGCAGTCATATATATATATATATATACACACACACAGAGCAATAATAATGTCTATTTTATTCTGAGGTTCCTTCCTTTCCCCCCCTCACTGGTTCTTTTTGAGTCATCTTCTGCAGCTAATTAAGCCGACTGGGTTCCTTTACTTGTGGTGGCCCAGTGTGCAATGGCTGCAAACAGCAATCTCCTTGGTAGTGTATGCAGCCTGTTGCTTGTATGGGTTGCCCTAAGGGACCTTGGAGACAGCACTATGAGTAGATGTTCATATTTCTGATCTCATGATGTCCCCCATCTAGGCTCCAAACAGGTATGCGGGGTGCCTTTGGGAAACCCCAGGGAACAGTGGCCAGGGTTCACATTGGCCAAGTCATCATGTCCATCCGCACCAAGCTGCAGAATAAGGAACATGTGATTGAGGCCCTACGCAGGGCCAAGTTCAAGTTCCCTGGCCGCCAGAAGGTAAAATAGTGGTGCAGCTCCCTTCCTCCTACCTACCTTTCCTTGCCCCAGTCCTCCTGACTCACTTTCCATCTCTAGATCCACATCTCAAAGAAGTGGGGCTTTACCAAATTTAATGCTGATGAATTTGAAGACATGGTGGCTGAGAAGCGGCTTATTCCTGATGGCTGTGGAGTCAAATATATCCCCAATCGTGGTCCCTTGGATAAGTGGCGGGCCCTGCATTCATGAGGGCTTCCACTGTGCTGTCCCCTTCTTAATCACACACAACACCAATAAATCCTGTATTGTATCCATTTATGTGTTTATTTCTTAAATCTAAGGGCCATGAAACCATAACCATATTAGCAGTATAGAACTGTACTGATAAGCTTTATCAATCGCCTGTTTGGGATCTCACCCTAGGGAATATGTGGAAAAGCATTAAAACTGGGGTGGGTGGTAATGGAAGGGTAGAAGCTGGGTCCCTTTTTGTAAGCCTAGCAGAATCATTTCCTAAGTATCACCAGCACCATGATAGGGAATGGGCAGAAAGGAATCAAAGTGGATATAGTGGTATGTACTTAGGCAGGATCTTTTTTTTTTCTTTTTAATTTTTGGCATCAAGCATTGAACCAGGTGGTGCTTAACCACTGAGTCACTTACCCAGCCCTTTTTTTTAATATATATATATATTTTTTGTGGGCACATCTTTGTATGTGGTGCTGAGGATGGAACCCGGGCCACGTGCCAGGCAAGCACGCTACTGCTTGAGCCACATCCCCAGACCTTTTTAAAAGTATTTTTTCAAGATACAGGGTCTCTTGAGTTGTTTAGTACCTAGCTAAGTTGCTAAGACTGACTTTGAACTGTGATGCTCCAAAGCAGGATCATTTGAAGCTAGTCAGGCCCAATCTCAAAGTGGGCATATTATCCTACCCATCTCATTTAACTAGACCAGGTGTTTGAGTCTTTGGAGTGCGATCCCATTTTTTTTTTTAAGAGAGAATGGAGAGAGAGAATTTTTAATATTTATTTTTTAGTTCTCGGCGGACACAACATCTTTGTTGGTATGTGGTGCTGAGGATCAAACCCGGGCCACACGCATGCCAGGCGAGCGCGCTACCGCTTGAGCCACATCCCCAGCCCGCGATCCCATTTCTGATGGCAGTTTACTATCAAACGGTCTCCTGGCTCACTGTCCTAGGCTGCTTTCCCATATCCCCTGCCCACCATACAAGCCAGTCTACACCCATGGGCCTTGGCCAAAACAATGACTTTTGGACAGAACACCTGGTATCCCTTGGCCTGGGCAACCTGGTGCTTTGGCCAGGTCTCTCAAAAGAACTTTAGTGTTCTGAGGAATACCTTAAGTGAGCTACTCCAGATGGGTCAGAGCCCTATCATAATGGGTCCACAGGTCGCATTTTGGAAGCGTCTTACCTTCCAGCAGCTACCTTTAGGTACCTAGCTCTCCCAGGCTCCAGGCTGTGACCCCTTTGAGGCCTTTCTACTTTTGTAATCTTAGAATGATTTTCCAAAACTTTTCCAATAAATTCCCTTTTAATTTTGACCCCAAGGAGATTGCTCTAAACCATGATTATAGTTTACATAAACATATTACCCTGTAACTGTCCCAATGGATGGGGAAGGATGAGTTCCATGATACTAACATCCTGGACAGGGTCTCTGTTCTGTGTATTCTTTTCTGTAGCCCATTTTTCTGGGCATGTGTTCATACAGATAGCTTTCCAGTAATATGATAGTTGTGGTTCAGATAATGTATACACCTGTGGCCTTGGTAAACCAGTGCCTCTCCCTATGTATAAACCCAAGTGTCAGTGTGGACTGAGCACACGTGGGTGGTGAAAGCAGGAATGCACAGAGTTACAGACAGGCCTGACCACAGACATTGGGGCTGTTTATTTTATTTATTTATTTATTTATTTATTTATTTTTAAGAGAGAGAGAGGGGGGGACAGAGAAAGAGAATTTTAACATTTATTTTTTAGTTTTCCATGGACACAACATCTTTGTGTGTATGTGGTGCTGAGGATCGAACCCGGGCTGCACGCACGCTAGACGAGCGCGCTACCACTTGAGCCACATCCCCAGCCCTGGGGCTGTTTATTTTTAAACATTTATTTTTTTGGTTATAAGTGAACATATACCTTTTATTTTTCTATGTGGTGCTGAGGATCAAACCTTGTGCCTCAAGCATGTTAGGCAAACACTCTTTCCTGAGTCACAACCCCAGCCTGACCCTGGGGCTTTTGCGAGTTAGTCACACACAGGGTTGCAATGAGCTTATTTGTTTCCCAATTACTATTTTTTTCCGTGGTGGTAGTGTAACACCTTATCTCCATTTTTTTTTAAATATCCATTTGTATATCTACTGGGTTCTCAATGGTTTCCTGTTGACATCTGTTACCCACATGTAATACCCATCCAATCTGGCTTTTTTGTCATACAGTAGAATTTTTTGATCTGTTGTGAGTCCCCTTTCTGAGCTCTGTGAGGTCTGGCAGAGAGAAGATGTAGAGATGCTCACCTGAGCTCATCTCTCCAGCCCTGACACCTGCTTTTGTTTTCACTCCTGACACTACCTGAAGGGGAGCATCATGGGTCCAGCCTCAGGTCCTGGATGCCCCTTCTAATACCAAGAAAAAAAGCCAAACCAAGCAAAAGGGTCACTTCAGCCCCAGGGCAGAACAGACTGGATGGATGAGACCAAGAATCAAGTCCTAAAGGTAACATGGACATCACACCCATGGGCCACCAGGTCCAGCTGAGAGGGCAGGAGTGACAAAAGTAGTGACAGCAGGAGCAGAGTGGGCAGGCTGAGGGGCTGGATACTGCGAGCAGTCTGATTGAGCTCCACCTCCACAGGGTAGTGGTCACTGATACTGAGGGCCTGGGGAGGGGCAGTGAGAAGAAGTGTCAGTACCTGGAGTTAAGGGGTTTCACTCTGACCCCTGGACCCACCCCTCTTCCTGCCCTCTTTCCTTACACCAGCCCCACCTCACTACCTCTTTCTCAGTGAGCTGGAAGCTCTTGGGGAAGTTGAAGGCAGCTGCAGCCTGCAGCAGGCTCTGGCAGCCCTCCCCATGCAGCACAATGCGGTCGTAGGTGCAGTGGGTGCTGGCTCTCACTGTGGTGTCCTCCCCATCAGGAATCACCCAGTGGAAGCCTGCTTCAGTCCGCAGTAGAAGCTGGCTTAGGCGTTTTTTGGGCAGTGAAGTGCAATCAGCATTGAAGTCCCCAAGTAGGATCACCTCCTGAAGGTGAGAGGAGTGGCTGGGCCCGACTGATGGGCCATCCATCCCCTTCCCTCCCATTTGAGCTATCCAGTCCTACCTTGCTTTGCCAGCGCTGTGAGACATCCAGAAACACATTGTATAGGGCATTCAGCTCCTTTTCTACGTCCTTAGGAGTGGTGTGCAGTGGGACCAGCACCAGGCTGGGAAGGACTGTAAAACCCAGGAAGCCAGGGCTGCCATCCACCCCCAGCCCTTCTCCCCTAGTTTCCTCCAGATTACCAAGCCCCCAGTTGGACTCTCCAGACTCTCCCCACCATTCTTTCCCTCCTACTTTTGCTAGGCAAAGTGAACTGGGCCACAAAGGGCTCCCGGGCAAATAGATCATCCTCATCTTCATACTGGTAGGAATTCAGGACCTGTGTCTTGTCGGACCTGGGAAAACCAAAGAAGAGGAAGCAGTTGCCATAAGTTACTGATTTTGGTTTGCATGTGCCAACAGCAAGGCTCTCAGGAAAAGATACCCCCACTTTCCTGGCTAGTCTTGGTTTGTGTAGGCACAGCCTTTTTTTCAAGAACATTCCATTTTGTTTGGTGCTGAGGCTCAAATCCAGAGCCTTGCAGCTTCTAGGCATGTACCCTTCACTGAGGTACCCTGGCCCATTAGAACTGTTTTATTTATATTTGAGATGGGGTCTTGCTGTGTTGTCTAGGCTGGGCTTGAGCTCCTGGGCTCAAGTGATCTTCCCACCTCAGCCTCCCAAGCAGCCAAGACTATAGACATTTGTTACCATGCCCAGATAGACTTCTTTTAAAGATATATTTTATAAAAAGATGTAACTCAGGCTGGGGCTGTAGCTCAGTGGTAGAGCACCCGCCTCACTGGGTTTAATCCTCAGCACCACATAAAAATAAATAAAGATACTGTGTCCAACTACAATTAAAAAATATTTATATATATTTTTAAAAAAAAGATATAACTCACATGCCATAAAATTCATCTATTTTAAGTGTACAATTCCATGGTTCTTAGTACATTGATTAGGTTGTGCAACTATCACTACAATCAATTTCAGAACATTCTCATATCTTCCAAAAGAAAACTTATCCTGTACCCAGTAACTGTTACTCTTCATTCCCCCTCCCACCATCCCTAGCAGCCATTAACTTATTCTATCTTGTAGATTTGCTTATTCTGCACATTTCATGAAAGTGGAATCAAGTAATATGTGACCCTTTGCATCTGGCTGCTTTCCTCTAACAATAATTTCAAGGTTTATTCACATTGTAGCATCTGTCAGTAATTCATTATTTTTATTGCTGAATAATATTCCACTGTATTGGTATGCCACATTTTGTCTACCATTCACCAGTTCATGAACATTTTTTTTGTACCAGGGATTGAACCCTGGTACAGAGGTGCTTAACCACTGAGCCACATCACTAGCCCTTTTAAATATTTTATTTACAGACAGGGAGTTGCTGAGATTGCAGGCATTCACCACCTTGCTCAGCCACTTTGAGCTATTATGAGTGATAAGCATTCATGTGGGAACATGTTTTCATTTCTCAGGTAGGTAGACACTAAGAAGCTATAGAATTATTTTGGAGCAAATCCCAGATACCATGTAATTTCACCTATATAAAAAAACAAATTTCCTTCTCTGGCAGTCCACCTTGCCTACTCTTTTTGGTACTGGGGATTAAGGGGCAGTTTACCACTAAGCCACATCCCCAGCCCTTTTGATTTTTTATTTTGAGACAGGGTCTTGATAAGTTGCTGAGGCTGGCCTCAAACTTAGAATCCTCCAACTTCAACTTCCTGAATCACTGGAATTACAGGCATGTACCACAGTGCTTGACTTGCCAACTCTCTTGATCCTAACACTGAGAGCATGCCCCACCCCACTCCCCACCCCAATCCTGTCCTCTCAGGAATTCAGGGCTGTTTCTAGAAATCAAGATCCACCCAAGACCTACAATCAGCACCCACTGATCCTCTTCCCAGAAGCCACAACCACTGCTTGCCACTCCGAGAGGAGCAACCAGACATGCCTTGA